TCCAGCAGCTGGACATCCTCATAAAGACTCAAGCAGTATCCTCCCCCGCGATAACAGCTTGACGATTAAATGCGACCTCAGAATACTGAAAAGAATTACTGAACAAAAAAAAATGTACCACTTACGGGCTATTCATGCCCGTGCTACCTGTTGGGTGGCTTAATCTTTATCAATCAATCAATCAATCAATCGTCCCCGAACAGGATACAAACCCAGGCCATGTAGCTCGCGAAGCGCGGGGCGAGTGTGTTACCACTGCGCCACGGGGACTGCAATCCCCGTGTCAATCCTTATTTTATATTCAGTTATAGTTCCCTTTTTTCTACGTTCATCTACGTTTCTGTTACTGCAATAATATATATTGTTTCTGTGCAAACAAGAACATTTAAATAATTTATTTTGTTTCTAACCATCGTAATTTTTGTATACTACAGCTTAAGGGTATTATTATTTTGAGTCCCTTCGCCATCCCTGTTCCCTTTACACAAACGTTTCCCTGCCAACACATAGTTTTACTGCCTCCTTCCCCAAAACCCATTCCCATACCACTATCTACTAACAGTTTATATTCAAACAAAACCTTCCAACCACAAATTCCACCGAATTGCTAATAGCAACAACCCCAGCCCTAGATAAACTTACCTGAGGGCCACTAACACTGTATTGGCCTCGATGACAGGATGCCTGCGGCTTGTCAAAGGTCCCTCCATTTGTCCTGATCATTTTTTCAAGCTGGAATTTGAAGTTCAGCAGAGTTCTGACATTTACGGCTTAGGCGGATAGACGGTTCCGTGTTCATCCAGTGGGTGAAAAACCATTTGTTCTCAGTCCTACATTCTGGTTTGTTGAGCTTAAATCCGTTACTTGTTGTTTGTGTTACATCTGCCCTGTGACCCTCAACCTGTCCTGGTATGAGAGTCGACTTAGTTCTGAATTATTTATTGCCCGGTGTTGCACTTTCTCCAATGAAGCTATGTCTTTTTGAAGATGAGGTCTCCACGCCTGGATGCAATAATCCAGGTGGGGGCGCACCAGAGATTTATATAATTGAATGACAACCTTCTTTTCATTAAAGTCGAAGATTGATAACGATTGATTATTCCTAGAGTTTCGTTAGTTTTTTTCTACTGTCGCTCCCACTTGTGTAACTTTCAGTAAATGATGGATTCTGCACGGGAGACATCTCCCGTCACGCAGGGTGCAGTCGCACCTCCACAGATCTCCGTATCATCTATTGATACTGGAAATGGCTCAAAAAGGGCCACCACTTATGGGCTATTCATGCCCAAGCCACCTTTTGGGTGGCTTAATCTTCTCTCTCTCTCTCTCTCTCTCTTCCTCATCACCACCGGGAGACATCTCCCGTCACGCTAGGTGCAGTCGCACCTCCACAGGTCTCCAGTATCATCTATTGATACTGGTGATGGCTCAAAAGGGCCACCACTTACGAGCTATTCATGCTCGTGCCACCTTTTGGGCGGCTTCATCTTCTTCTTCGTTAGCAGTGCATTGAGTCACCATTTGGTCCGGGAGACATCTCCCGTCACGCTGGGTGCAGTCGCACCTCCACAGATCTCTAGTATCATCTATTGATACTGGTAATGGCTCAAAAGGGCCACCACTTACGAGCTATTCATAACCGTGCCACGTTTTGGGTGGCTTCATCTTCATCTTTCAATTCATAAGGGAGACATCTCCCGTCATGCAGGGTGCATTCGCACCTCCACCGATCTCCAGTATCAGCTTTTGATACTGGTAATGGCTTAAAAAGGCCACCACTTACGGGCTATTCATGCCCGTGCCACCTTTTGGGTGGCTTAATCTTTATCAATCAATCACCGAAAACAGCACCATTTGGTCACCACTTGGTCCGGGAGACATCTCCCGTCACGCAGGGTGCAGTTGCGCCTCCACAGATCTCCAGTATCATCTTTTGATACTGGTAATGGCTCGAAAGGGCCACCACTTACGGGCTATTCATGCCCGTGCCACCTCTTGGGTGGCTTAATCTTCATCAATCAATCGATGGATTCTGACTCCAAGGTCCCAAATGAAGGACGTATTTAGGATTCCAAGGTCCCAAATGAATGACGTATTTAGGACTCCAAGGTCCCAAATGAATGACGTATTTAGGACTCCAAGGTCCCAAATGAATGACGTATTTAGGATTCCAAGGTTCCAAATGAAGGACGTATTTAGGACTTCAAGATCCCAATTAAATCCCATCTGAGATTCCGTATCATTCCTTCAACTGAAGTGTTCCCAGTTATCAATATTGCATTTGATTCGCAATATTTATCTAGTCGGCAATAGTCTCCAAGAGTTCTAAACAATAATTCATTCTCTAAACAACTTCCCGTCTTGGAAGAATGCCACATTTGATTAGAATCACTCCCTTGCGCCTAACTAAATCCACGGGTCTTAAGCCTCTGCATTAGTGCTTCAGCCCTAACTCAGACTACTTCATTTCCGTCAGCACTGATACAAATAGCGGGGTTGTTCCCATTTCCAGCCATGTATCATTCATATTGTTTACACTATCCCCTATTTCCACTTCCGGATAGCAAATCCTTAACCTGGCTTCCCCCTTGCACAAAAGGGTACACGGACCGAAACATAGAGACTTTCCATTCACTTCCCTTGTTTGTTGTTAAAGATTCGCCACCCGGAAGAAAAAGTTCCAAGTAACACGGGCTATGGTGAGCCCGTAGCCGTTCGCACCTCCTCTAGGAGACTCGGGTCCACGGTACTAGTAGTCTCCTAGAGCCCACGGACGTGTGAAAGACAGTTTATAGAGACTTTCATTTAATGTCATGTGTGGGTTGGGTTATCAGAGTTACAGACGCTTACTGTTATGTGAGTGTGACTGTGGTTACTGTTGCCGCCCTACACGAGACACGGATAGGAACACGGGCATGTTGAAATGGAATGAATATATAAAGTTTCCATTTTTTTCTCCGTAAATAATATAAGAGGGACGTTGATGTGCGTTACGAACTCCATACTATGAGAATTAGTGGAGTCATATATACAAAACAGTCAGTAAATGACCCAGCCGGGGGACCTTGATAAGCCTCTGCCCAAGCTTTCTCTCCCCGACAGTGAGAATTATTATTAAGACACGGGTATAATGCCTCTGTATTAATTTAATTGTTTTTACTGGAAATTTCTAGTAGATAATCTGTGTTTCCAGGAACATACCTTGACCCTTTCTACCTGACTGTTTATACTAAACCTTCATTAATGACTAAGCACCCTAATGCTCGGTAAACAAGCCTTGGGTCAATATAGGGATTAACTCAAGTGAGATCAAATGGTTACAATTTCTACGTAATCGCCCCGACGATTAAACGCTGAGGGCCCAGAGTTTAGTTTAGTTCATTTATTATGCACCCCATACCCATCTTGTGGGCGGTAGTGGAAAGGGTTACAGAGGCACATAATAGGCTCAGGGACTGAACCCCACAATTCATTTAGCTAAGCAAGTTACAATCTTGATGAGGTAGTTACAAAATTCAATGCACATCGTCACATCAACAATGAGTTCAAGACCGACCACAAGTACAGGCGATGAGTCACAATAACGTGGCTGAAGTATGTTGACCAGACCACACACTAGAAGTTGAAGGGACGACGACGTTTCGGTCCGTCCTGGACCATTCACAATCGACTTGAGAATGGTCCAGGACGGACCGAAACGTCGTCGTCCCTTCAACTTCTAGTGTGTGGTCTGGTCGACCACAAGTACAGTTTTTAAATTAAGCAACTGACATATGTGTGAGAGTTAATGTCACAATGGATATGTTTATCCTGCACACCGCCCCCCCCCCCTCCCCAAGAGACACTTCAAGATGTTACATGACCAAAGGCCACATTCACTCCAAACATCTACCACCTGCGGGCTACTCATGCCCACGCCCCCTCTTGGGTGACTTAATCTTCACCAATCAATCAACTGGTGACTGGCAAACAATAAGGCAGGTCACATCAAGGGAGGACGGGTCGAGTATGCTTACATTTGAAGCTCTCAAGGAATCACGAGGACGACTCAGCACGAACCTATTTTCGAATTTGTGTCAATAAAGATGTCAATAACAATGTTTTCCGATGAAAAAATTAAGTAATGATTCAGATAATAACAATCATTGGAGAATGCTATCAAAACTTAGCTCTCTCTCTCTGCATTGATAGATTTTACGAAACACTTCTCAAGATAACAGAATATCAGAGAAAGGAAATGTGGGATAACTAAGCATGGGAACAAAGAAACCTGCATATTCTAACGCTAATCCAGTCGGATTAAATTCCTTATTAAGACTACTCGATAGCTCGGTCGACAGCACGGGAGACATCTCCCGTCACGCAGGGTGCAGTCGCACCTCCACAGATCTCCAGTATCAGCTCTTGATACTGGTGATGGCTCAAAAGGGCCACCACTTACGGGCTATTCATGCCCGTGTCACCTTTTGGGTGGCTTAATCTTCATCAATCAATCTTCAATCGGTCGATAGAGTTTCTGCCTCACATTCGTGGGGTCCAGGGTTCGAGTTTCCTAGAGCCCAGGTGAATGAAACAGTCGGAAGATGTTAAGAGGAGCACATGAAGAATGGTTGAGAAATATACTGAAGGAAGGAGAGACAAATACGTGCTATGTTAGAGGTAACAAGGGAGGAGGCAGGAAACATACTGGGAAATTTCCAGAACTCATTAGTAGCACTAAAAACCTTATGCAGACGACGAGTCACAATAACGAGGTTGAAGATATGATGACCAAACCACATAAGAAACGGCGACGTTTCGATCCGTCCTGGACCATTATCAGATCATTACACGACGTCATTTTAGTCCAGGACAGACCGAAACGTCGTCGTTCCTTCATTGTAGCTTGGTGATGTGTAACTTGGCCATCACTAAACACCTTAAACAACCATGACGAGAAGTTAACAAAGTCAGGGACTCTAAGAACAATTATAACACAGACCTGGGAGAGTCCGAGACCCATGAGCGAGGTCTTCAAGTGGATGAGGGGTATCAAGAGGGTAGATGTAGGAAAGGTCCTGAAACTATCAGACCAGATCAGAGCCCGTAACAGTGGCTATAGGCTGGAGAAGTTCAGATTCAGGAAGGATACAGGAAGTACTGGTTTGGCAACAGGGTGGGAGACGAGTGGAATAGGTTCCCGGCCACCATCATAATGGAGATTAAGCCACCCAAGAGGTGGCACGGGCATGAATAACCCCGTAAGTGGTAGATTAATTTTGTTTTTGAGTAAATGTATACTGTGTGCTGAGATCGCATTTAAATCGTCAGGCTGATATCGCGGGGGAGGATTTTGCTTGACAGTATTTATGAGGGTGTCCAGCTGCTGGACACCTTTGTTGACCAGAAGAGTGGCAGTGTTGATGGCTTCAGGGTGGTTACTGCAAGATTCGGGGACTCTTAAGGTACTTCTAAGGTCGTTGGTTGCTTCACATTCCAGGAGATAGTGAAGTAGTAGCTTTTGTGATTGGCAGTAGCATCATAGAGAAGCACTTCCTTATATATACATGGAGAAAGTCTGATCTAGATGGCTACTTTCATGTCGTGTTAGTTTCATGATTTAAATAAATATTTTATTCCACAACGTGACATAGCATTAACAAATTACAAAATATGTGCAGTTACAACAAATAATAATTTCATATGTAACATTCACAAGAGATTACGCTATTGGTCGATGTTCAAGTTCAAATATGTTTCTTGAGACAAGAAAAAATACATCCCTAAGGGATAGAGTAGCTTTGGCTACTTCTACCCCCCCCACCCCCCCAAGGTCGATGTTATGTCACACAGGATCTCCCGCCACCCTTTTTTACGGGCTATTCATGCCCGTGCCACCTCTTGGGTGGCTTAATCTTTATCAATCGCCACCCTTCCCACAGGTCATGTTCGGGATGAGAAGCCTGCGGAAGGGTCAGTCTATGGTGATCAGTTGACAAGTCAACACGTATAGATCCTCGTCTCTTGAATTCCAGTGTTTAACATATAGTGAACGATCAGCATCGCGCCATTTACTTGGACTAATTTCTGTACAGCCTCTCGCACCAAGACACAGAAACGGCGAGACCTACATCTAGGAACGCAGCTTCTTGCATGGTGGGTATACAAGACTCAACTGCTATTTCTGATAACATGGGGAACAACAGAAAGCCTATTGTTCCCATTTTTTATCTTCTCATAATCATTGTAACCAACTCCTGAAACAATCCGCTGAGCAATGTGTTTCATTGATCAGCATACCTATTTCCAAACCAGTATTTACCCAGGGCTTTTCTGAATCTAAAGTTATTCAATCTGCGTCAATTATTTGTTCCCGCTCTATTATGTGTTCTTATATTTAGCATTTTAATATATTTCATATATTTGTATACTACAATCGAGCACGCTTTTACTTTGCCTTTCTAAAGAAGGTATATTTAGCTGTGTTTAGTCCCTCTTCATATGGGAGGTTTCTAATTCCGAGAATAACTTTAACATCCTTCACTGTAGCGAATTTATACCAATTCAATAATACAGTGCTTAAAACAGAACTGCATGATAAAACTCCGACCTAACAAAGGTACCTGAACAAAATTTTATCTTACATATCTAATTTATTATAAGTGAAATCTGATTTCCTTATTCCCTAGCTCAGCTCACTCACTATTTCTGTCATTTGTGTCTCCCTGTTCGTAAAAGTCTAAAATATTATTATCCCGCGTTGGGTCCTTAATATGTACTACCAGGATCAGTCCCGGTGCAACCCGTCCTCGGACCAAGTTCATTCCATCCAGCGGCTAACCCCAAAGGCGCATTCATCAATTTTAACATGTTGTTCATTTAAAACAGAACTTTTCTCAAATATAAATTAATATTATTATATATTAGCATATTGGTTAGGTTAGGCGTTTAGGTTCTGTTGGCGATTATTTGTACTTGTAATAGACTTTGGGTCTTTATTTGGAGGACGGGCTGCTGTAGTACAGTTGGGTTACTTCTCCACTCACAATCAAGAATTCGGTTCGCATCCTGGGAGGGACGGAAATGGTTGGGCGCAGTTTCCTTGAGTTTTATGTATATAATTCATAATTAGAATATTATTCAAATTAGTCACCTCGCTTGACTCGGCGATTACATAAGGTCATGTAACAATCAGGTACACCTTACGGGCTATTCATGCCCGTGCCACCTCTTGGGTGGCTTTAATCTTCATCACTCACGTACACCCTCCCAACTACTTACGGGCTCACTATAGCCCGTGCTACATGGACAGTCCGTTCTGAGTAGCTAAATCTGAAAACAACAACTCCCAATTATCCTCCATTTTGCAACTATCCTTTCACGACAAAGATCACATTCACTCCAAATTTCTACCACTACATACGATCTCGCTTCATGCAGGTCAGCGTTCGATCCCCGACTCGTCCAAGTGATTGGGCACCATTCCTTCCCCCCATCCCATCCCAAATCCTTGTCTTGATCCCATCCCAATGCCATATAGTCGTAATGGCTTGGCACTTTCTCTTGATTTTTCACTTTTTCTTGGCACTTTCACCTCTTATAGGTGTTAATTGTTTCTTTGGAAACGCAATACATTCTTGAATGACATCATACCTTGTAACATTACAACATAAGGATATCATATATGGTCTCTTACTGTATGCTCTAACATGCATTGTGCATGTCTTTCCACATTTCGAAGTGAGAGGAATAATTTAATAGATCCCCCATGTTCAAGTATGTTTGTTGAGACAAGAAAAATACATCTCAAAGGGATAGAGTAGCTTAGGCTATTTCTTACCCCCCCCCCCCACCCCCCTCCATTAGCTCCCCCACCTGTTATTAATCTAATCGCTGAAGCGACGTATATCTCTGAAAATCTATCCCGAATAATTTGTAAGTTGATTTCCATCCGTATTATCTCATGACTAATATGATTAATAGTATGAATTTGTGAGCCCCTTGAAAGACCATAAATAGACGAGGGGTAGAGATAGCTTAAACTGCTCTATCCTTTTGAGATGAACTGCTCAAAGTCCTGCTCTATCATTGCCTCAATAAACTTGAACTGATAGTTCCCTTCCCTTCCAAACTTGGTCAGGATCATCCTCACTTGCATCACCCGCCAACCAGCGCACACAAGACTAAATTCACTCCTCCCTTCCCAGCACATTCCTTCCACGGGAGGCTACTGCCGGACCTCCATCGTGCACCCATATGCTTTGTTCCCCCCTCACCTGCTTTTAACTTGATCCACTTTCTGGCATACTTGCAAGTTCCCTTATCTTAACTGCCTGGTCATTACCCCTCCCCACTTCCACTCACGTGATTGGTTATCTAGTAGTCAACGTTCCTTAAATCAAATCCTTTCGCTTCAATCCTCTTATGTTAACTAGCTAATCCTTTCCCACGTGACCTCGGAAACTATTCACATCACAAAGCGCACATTATGTACTGTACCTCTCTATTGGGCACACAATTTGTACCCTGTGAAAATGGACCAAAATAACTTTTACCACGTGTGAACATTTTAAAACCTTATCTTCTAATATATAATTCTTATTTTAATAAAAACAAAGTTGATTTACTGTTCCATTTTGTGCTTCACTCGATCTCAATTTATTCCCGTCCTCATAAACAAAGGCCAAAGTCCATTCCATGCACCCGCCAAACCCCCTGTTTTTGAATGAAAAACGGTTTACACACGACTCACAACTGCTGACGTTCGAACATATGCGGAACAAGTGTTTCACTGACGAATTTTGTTCGAATCACAACGCTATAAATGCTTCACCCACGTACTACAAATACAAATAATCGCCAACAGAACCTAAACACCTAACCTAACCTATGCCTATTTATACACAATATGCTAATATATTATAATATTAATTTATACTTGAGAAAATTCCCGTTTTGAATGAACAGCATGTTAAAATTTATGAATGCGTCTGTGGGGTTGATCGCTGAATGTAATGGACTTGAGTCGAGGATGGGTTGTACCAACATAACCTAAACACCTAACCTAACCAATGTCTAAATATGTACAACATGCTAATATATAATAATATTAATTTATATTTAAGAAAATTCCTTTTTTTGAATGAACAGCATGTTAAACATGCAGGTCGGCGTTCAATCCGCGACGTCTAAGTGGTTGGACACCATTCCTTTTTCCCCGTCCCATCCCAAATTGTTATCCTGATCCCTTCCAAGTGCTGTATAGTCGTAAAGGCTTGGTGCTTTCTCCCTAATTATTCCCTTCCCTCATTCAAGAAGGAAAAATTAACTTGTATCATGTGTTGTGTTGGTAAACTTTCGGTGACATGCAAACTAGGTCCACCATAAATCCAATGAGCGGGATGCAATATACCCGCTGAAGTCGTAAATGCCAAAGCACAGCTGTATTTCCAGGTCAAGCTCGATAAAATCATCAAAACAAATGTGGGGGGGGAACCTCTGACAAGCCGCTGATTTCCTGTCCTCATCGAGGCCACTAGAGACAGTGGCCCCTGTTGTAAATTCAAGTAAAATATTGGTGTCATATGCTTAAATATTTCAAATATCATATTTTTTATATTTTCCAGATACAATATTTATCCCGCCACACTCCAAGTAATGGGTCAGGCTAACAGCTCATGCATTCCAACGTGCTCGTCGATTGTTGAGGGAACCATCACACCCAAACAAGCTAAATTACCCAGGGTACGTTTCACGTCTTGTCGATTATTTCTTTCCAGACTCTTTTTGTCCATCTTGTGGACTGTTTAAAATAAGTTCCTGTAAAATAAGCTTAACACGGGTGACTTTCTGAAGTATTGACATTTTCTTAAGAAAGGTAAGAAATATAGATATAATTCCTACTGAAATCATTAAGAGTCTAGGGATGAATGTCATGTGATTTGTGTTTGGATGAGGTGAGCCCTTTGGCACAGTCGAACTACCGGCTCACATCATGTGGGTAATAGTTGTCTAATCCGAGCGGTTTATTGGTCCCCCTTTGTTCAGAACAGTGTTTCTAACATGGGATGTTCGCCCCACACACAGTCAGTGTGAAGATCATGTGGTGCGAGTACTGCCGTTTTCTCCAGTATTCACTACTCGAACTAACGTACCTTTCATTTACTAAAACAAGTTGATAAATATTGTCGCAACATCATTTAAAAAGAACGTCAAAATGGCATAAAAATGACAGCCAGTTCTCAAAATGGCGGACCCAAGCGGGTCATAGACTAAAATGTCAATTAAAGAGCATAAAAATAATCTCAATTAGCTTAAAAGAAGCTTTCGCAGGCAACTGGCGTTAGTTGATATTTTGTCTCTTTTTGGGATTGATTGTCCTTTGTGTCTGTGTACTGATTTTCGGCTGCTTTCGCTTGCCAAAAAAATTATGCAAGTACACCTGCTTACATTAGAAGGCAATTTCGAACTAAAGTTATGAAATGCATTAACATCAAAACTAATGTAAAATCTGAGCGTCTTCTTCAAACAATTTTGTGAGGCTAAAAATTGTGACCATATAAGCCTATTGCTTTACACGGAGGTGAGATGACTCTCACCTTTGATAAGGTGATAACGATAGATAAGATTCATGGAACTATTTAATATTCTTAGTGAGTTTTTAAAAACAAACCTGAAACGAAACTCCTACAAACAGTTGATGGTAAAGCATTTGTGAGTTATTTAACAGATATCTTTGAAAAATTGTATATGATAAATGAACAACTGCAAGGAGCAAATAGAACCCCTGATACTGGATAGACTAAGAATTTTAGCTTCATTGGATTTCTGCAATTTTGCCAAAATAAAATTTTATCTAAAAATTTCACCAATTCTGTTGGCTAAGTATGAAGTTATTGATGCTTGTTGCAGACTTGTTATTGCAGATCACCTGAGCAAAATGGTCGGTAATTTGAATGAAAGATTTTCTAATTTTTAAGAATTTTTTTCCACTTTGGATAACTGAGGCAATGCTGGTGTGTTTAAGTATGGTGGCTTTGTAATATCAAGAAGAGCTATCAGACATACAGAACAATTACTCAATTAAAACCTTATTTAAACTAAAAGGAGCAATGGTGTGGCTCTGCGATGAAGCAGACAAAATATACAAACAATTGACGTTGTCATTCCCGAGTTCATATTTGGTTGACTTAGGGTTTAGTGATGTAAGTATTTATTGTTAACAAAAATGAAATGGACTGTATGTTAAAAACCGTGATAATTTGAGATTAAAATTAACCAAATCAACACCTCAAATATATGTTATTTATTGCAATTTAAATCATATAGTTTATTGCATTCGTACTAGTTTGAATTTTGAAGGTTTAAATTGCCCGCGAAATTTAAACTTAATTCTCCTAACGGCCTCAGTTTTTTTTTTTTTTTTAGCTCCTCAACCAAGGAGGACAATAAAACTTTTTAGGTGGGTCAACAACGTTGAGAAACACTGGCTCAGTGGGAAGGCGTGCCTCGGAATAGACAAATGTTGACCGCGATTACTTTCTCAAGTTTTTAAAATATACGCAAGCAATTGAAGCATGATTAAGTTGTACATTTGGAAGGTGGTCGTGCACAAGTTGCTAACCAGTTTATATACATATATTGCAGCACCTGGTTGAGCGTGTGTGGCAGGCTCAAAAGTATATGAACCCCATCAACCCCAGCCAGAGCTATGAAACCCTCTACGTGTGCGAGACACTGGTTACTTCCATTGGCAACTGCTCCGTCACCTCCTTCGACGACGACATCAACTCCACCAGTGACACCGCCCCCTCTCTGGCCTGTGACGCCGCAACCATTTTGTCTAGTGACTCTGCATCCTTACTGTCCAATGATGCCCCAACAATTTTGTCCAGTGACTCCGCATCCTCACTGTAGTGTGACGCCGCAACCATTTTGGCCAGTGACTTCGCATTCTCAATGTCCTACGACGTCGCAACCATTTTGGCCAGTGACTTCGCATTCTCAATGTCCTACGACGTCGCAACCATTTTGGCCAGTGACTTCGCATTCTCAATGTCCTATGACGTCGCAACCATTTTGGCCAGTGACTTCGCATTCTCAATGTCCTATGACGTCGCAACCATTTTGGCCAGTGACTTCGCATTCTCAATGTCCTACGACGTCGCAACCATTTTGGCCAGTGACTTCGCATTCTCAATGTCCTATGACGTCGCAACCGTTTTGGCCAGTGACTTCACATTCTCAATGTCCTACGACGTCGCAACCATTTTGGCCAGTGACTTCGCATTCTCAATGTCCTACGACGTCGCAACCATTTTGGCCAGTGACTTCGCATTCTCAATGTCCTATGACGTCGCAACCATTTTGGCCAGTGACTTCGCATTCTCAATGTCCTACGACGTCGCAACCATTTTGGCCAGTGACTTCGCATTCTCAATGTCCTATGACGTCGCAACCGTTTTGGCCAGTGCCTTCGCATTCTCAATATCCTATGACGCCCCAATCATTTAGATCAGTGACTCCGCCCCCTCACCAGTCAGTGACTCCGCCCACTCACCAGTCTGTGACACTGCAACCATATTGGCCAATGACTCCGTCCCCTCACCAGTCAGTGACTCCGCCCACTCACCAGTCTGTGACACTGCAACCATATTGGCCAATGACTCCGCCCCCTCACCAGTCAGTGACTCCGCCCACTCACCAGTCTGTGACACTGCAACCATATTGGCCAATGACTCCGCCCCCTCACCAGTCAGTGACTCAGCCCACTCACCAGTCTGTGACACTGCAACCATATTGGCCAATGACTCCGCCCCCTCACCAGCCAGTGACTCCGCCCACTCACCAGTCTGTGACACTGCAACCATATTGGCCAATGACTTCACCCCCTCACCAGCCAGTGACTCCGGCCACTCACCAGTCTGTGACACTGCAACCATATTGGCCAATGACTCCACCCCCTCACCAGTCAGTGACTCCGCCCACTCACCAGTCTGTGACACTGCAACCATATTGGCCAATGACTCCACCCCCTCACCAGTCAGTGACTCCACCCCCTCACCAGTCTGTGACACTGCAACCATATTGGCCAATGACTCCACCCCCTCACCAGTCAGTGACTCCACCCCCTCACCGGTCAGTGACTCCACCCCCTCACCAGGCAGTGACTCCACCCCTTCACCAGTCAGTGACTCCACCCCTTCACCAGTCAGTGACTCCACCCCCTCACCAGTCAGTGACTCCACCCCTTCACCAGTCAGTGACTCCACCCCTTCACCAGTCTGTGACTCCACCCCTTCACCAGTCAGTGACTCCACCCCCTCACCAGTCAGTGACTCCACCCCCTCACCAGTCAGTGACTCCGCCCACTCACCAGTCTGTGACACTGCAACCATATTGGCCAATGACTCCACCCCTTCACCAGTCAGTGACTCCACCCCCTCACCAGTCAGTGACTCCACCCCCTCACCAGTCAGTGACTCCACCCCCTCACCAGTCAGTGACTCCACCCCCTCACCAGTCAATGACTCCACCCCCTCACCAGTCAGTGACTCCACCCCCTCACCAGTCAGTGACTCCACCCCCTCACCAGTCAGTGACTCCACCCCCTCACCAGTCTGTGACTCCGCCCCCTCACCGGTCAGTGACTCCGCCCCCTCACCAGTTTGTGACTCCACCCCCTCACCGGTCTGTGACTCTGCCCCGTCACAGGTCTCTGACTCCACCCCCTCACCGGTCTGTGACTCCGCCCCGTCACCGGTCTGTGACTCCGCCCCGTCATCGGTCTGTGACTCCGCCCCGTCATCGGTCTGTGACTCCGCCCCGTCATCGGTCTGTGACTCCGCCCCGTCATCGGTCTGTGACTCCGCCCCGTCATCGGTCTCTGACTCCGCCCCCTCACCGGTCTCTGACTCCGCCCCTTCACCAGTCTGTGACTCCGCCCCCTCACCGGTCTCTGACTCCGCCCCGTCACCGGTCTCTGACTCCGCCCCGTCACCGGCCTCTGACTCCGCCCCCTCACCGGTCTGTGACTCCGCCCCCTCACCGGTCTGTGACTCCGCCCCCTCACCGGTCTGTGACTCCGCCCCCTCACCGGTCTGTGACTCCGCCCCCTCACCGGTCTGTGACTCTGCCTCGTCACCGGACTGTGGCGCCGCATCCATTTAGTCCAGTGACTCCGCCCCCTCACCAGTCCCTGACACCGCAACCATTTAGTCCAGTGACTCCGCCCCCTCACCAGTCTGTGACTCTGCCTCGTCACCGGACTGTGGCGCCGCATCCATTTAGTCCAGTGACTCCGCCCCTTCACCAGTCCCTGACACCGCAATTATTTAGTCCAGTGACTCCTCCCCCTCACCGGTTTGTGATACGGCAACCAATATCTTCGCCAGCGATGCAATCAACCTCATTACCCGGGTCAGCACCACCTTGGCCAGCGATGCAGCTCCCTTCGCCAGCGATGCAGCCACCTTGGCCAGCGATGCAGCCACCTTGGCCAGCGATGCAGCCACCTTGGCCAGCGATGCAGCCACCCTGGCCAGCGATGCAGCTCCCTTCGCCAGCGATGCAGCCACCTTGGCCAGCGATGCAGCCACCTTGGCCAGCGATACAGCCACCCTGGCCAGCGATACAGCCACCTTGGCCAGCGATACAGCCACCCTGGCCAGCGATACAGCCACCTTGGCCAGCGATGCAGCTCCCTTCGCCAGCGATGCAGCCACCCTTGCCAGCACTACCTTGGACAGCAATGCAGCCACCCTGTCCAGTGACTCCGCCCCCTCACCGGTCTAAACCGGTGAGGGGGCGGCCCCCCAAGAGGGGGCCTAAGCCAGCGGCACCAGCACCACCCTGGTCTGCAGCGGCACCAGCACCACCCTGGCCTGCAGCGGCACCACCACAACTCTGGCCAGCGGCACCACCACCCTGGCCAACGGCACCACCACCTTCGCCAGCGGCACCACCACAACTCTGGCCAGCGGCACCACCACAACTCTGGCCAGCGGCACCACCACAACTCTGGCCAGCGGCACCACCACAACTCTGGCCAGCGGCACCACCACAACTCTGGCCAGCGGCACCACCACCTTGGCTAGCGGCACCACCACAACTCTGGCCAGCGGCACCACCACAACTCTGGCCAGCGGCACCACCACCCTGGCCAACGGCACCACCACAGCCACCATCTTGGCCAGCGGCGAAGTGGGGTGGTGGACCAAATCAATTTCTTAACGAAATTGACTTGGTCTAAGGACGCAACCCGTCCACAGACCAAGTCCATTCTATCCAGTGGTCGACCGTAAAGATGCATTCATCAATTGTAACATGCTGAACATTCAAAATAGGAATTTTCCCAAATAAATTAATATTGTTATATATTAGCATACTGTGCATATTTGGGCATTGGTTGGGTTAGGTGTTTAGGTTCTGTTAGCGATTACTCGTATTTGTAATACGTGGGTGAAGTATTTACCAACCCGTCCTGGGACCAAATCCATTCTTCTATCCAGCGGTCAAACCCAAAGATGCATTCATCAATTTTAACATGCTGTTAATTCAAAACAGAACTTTTCTCAAATATAAATTAATATTATATTATATATGCATATTGTTCATATATAGGCATAGGTTAGGTTAGGTTCTGTTGGCGATTATTTGTATTTGTAGTACGTGGGTGAAGCATTTACAGCGTTGTGGTTCGAACAAAAGTCGTCAGCTAAGCACTTGTTCGAGACGTGTTCAAACCTCATCAGTTGGGAGTAGTGTGTAAACCTTTTTCCAATCATACACAGGGGGTTTGGTGGGTGCATCGAATCAGTTTTGCAGCCCGTCCTCATAAACAAAGGCCTAAGTCCATTCCATGCACCCGCCAAACCACTTGTTTATGAATGGAAAACGGTTTATGCACGACTCACAACTGATGACGTCCGAAACAAGTGCTTTGCTGACGACTTTTGTTGGAACCACAACGCTATAAATGCTTCACCCACGTCCTACCAACATAAATAATCGGCAAAAGAACCTAAACACCTAACCTAACCTATGCCTAAATATGCACAATATGCTAATATATAATAATATTAATTTATATTTGAGAAAAGTTCTGTTTTGAATAAACAGTATGTTAAAATTGATGAATGCGTCTTTGTGATCGACCGCTGGATAGAATGGACTTCGAGTCAAGGACGGGTTGTAGATTCACCCACATACTTCAATACAAATAATTGTCAATAGAACCTAAACACTTAATCTATACCTACCAATACATACAACTTTTATATATAATATTAATTTACATGAGTATATACCTATTTTAAATGCATAATACGTTTATATTGATGAATGCGACTTTGGGGTCGGCCGTCCTACGTTCCATGGACGAGCCTAGCCTGAGGACGGGTCGATACACAATGTACAAACACAAGCTGCCAGTCCCCAACAAAATTAATTATCTCGGCTATTTACGCCTTTCTTCACATTTTGGACAATAATCTGGGTAATATAATCTACATACGCTTTCCATAACTTCAGCTTCTGTAATGTTCTAGGAATTCCTTATATTTTGGCAGAGCATTATTAGTTTGGAGTTATAATGCTAGACGAGACCTTGATAGTTCATTTCATACTGCCCGTAGACACTAAACAAATTCACTGACCTTACTTCATCCTGTAGTTTACGCCTTCTAGCATTTATCTTTCTCTTGGCAATCTTGAATTAGTTAAGCAATCATCACATCTTGCAAAAGAATTTCAAGAAATTATGTCACAAGGAAGGCGAGGCGTGTTACTGATGCCCTTGTGCAGTTACTAAAAACCGATCACATTGTCCACATAAATTCTCGCTCTTTAGGAAGCCCTGTCATCCGTCTTGAAGTCGAGCATAGATACCTGTTTTTTTATAATGTTTGAGAATATATTTGAGCCTCAGAAATATACATTCATTCGGTTTGAGAGACTTTTATGAATAAATTTTCACAATGTTGTCACTTGTATTTTATCCCCTTTATATTTTCGGCAAATAATGTAAACATTACTGGGAATATGGAACAGCTGTTAATGAAAAGTAAAAAGAATTTAATAAATGGAATGTTAAAGCCTCACACTATGAATCATTGTATGTTTTAGTTCCTATTACTTTATTAATATAAAAACAATGAGAAAGGTGGGAGAAGCCTTCAGGTGATTACAAATAATAGTAATTATCGAAAGAAGACGCCAAACCGAGAAGATTGTGCATAAGGTGATTGGCGAAGACTCCAGGTGGTGGGCGAAGACTCCAGGTGGTGGGCGAAGACTCCAGGTGGTGGGTGAAGGCCCCAGGTGGTGGGCGAAGACTCCAGGTGGTGGGTGAAGACTCCAGGTGGTGGGTGAAGACTCCAGGTGGTGGGCGAAGACCCCAGGTGGTGGGTAAAGACTCCAGGTGGTAGGTGAAAACTCCAGGTGGTGGGTGAAGACTCCATGAGATGGGTGAAGACTCCAGGGGGTGGGTGAAGACTCCAGGTGATGGGTGAAGACTCCACGTGATGGGTGAAGACTCCAGGGGGTGGGTGAAGACTCCAGGTGGTGGGTGAAGACTCCAGGGGGTGGGTGGAGACCCCAGGTGGTAGGTGGAGCCTCAAAGTGGATGAGCCATTCATCTAGGGGCACTGAGGCACTTGGCATATATACTTGCCTTCAGACGCCTGGCTCTGAGGGCAAGTTTATTAAGTTAATGAACTGATAAACGTGAAGTTAGAGTAAAAAAGATTCATAATTGACAGCTAAATTGCTAACTTTTAAAATAATATTTTTGACATGTATTGTGAATAGGACCAGAGTGCGTTTCTGGAGGGAACGTTGCTTTTCACCCTAACTCATGGGGTAGAGTGCGTTGCTGGGGGAAGACCTGACTCACAGGGCAGAGTGTGTGGCTGAGATAAGACTTAACTCACTGGGTAGTATGCGTTGCTGGGGAAGACTTTACTCCCAGGGTAGAGTGTGTCACAGGCATGAGACTACTCACCATATAAAGTGCGTTGCGGCAGTGTATCTTACGGGAGGTACAGTAGTCCCGGCGGACGCACCTCCCGTACCGTCTGAGGCAGGGCCAGTCCTCGGGTGGGCAGGCAGGGCACGGGGGTGTGGCGGGGGCGTGTACCAACCTGCAGGCCCGACACACTGTGTGTTGGCACACCCCTCGACACCCCACCACCTCCTCCCCCACCAACCTGCACACAGGGGTAGTGGTATACGTATTTTAGTTTGTTGTTTTAGATTCATCTACTCGGAATGTAACACGGAGAGGGTTTCTCTACCTATCTATCTTTCTTCTTTCCCTCTACCCGTATTCTTACTTTTTATTTCTCTACAAGGGACTCCAAAACTTTTACTAAAGCCGACTCCACGCCACGTGGTCCTAAGACGATTGACCGACTTAGGATTCTACAACCAGTATGACGTGACCTAGGCTTTGAGCAAAACCCTAGAGTCGCCTCCGCCGCCACCACCAGACCAGTAACACAGAGCAATGATCGAGGTCTGGATCGATCATGCTAATTAATCAACCTTGGGGCTTGATCCCCACTATAACCGATGACCTTGAGAGTTCTTAAGTGTGGAATTAATTAGACGGGAATGATGAATTCCGATTCGATGTTAGAATCGACGCCCAATCCAACTCTGCCTCGTGTGGACCACGTGACCAGGACAAGTTCACATACTGTACATATAACAAATACATGGAAATAATAAAAATGCAAAATATTAACTAATTAATTTATTAAAAGAAACTAAAACAAAATCTGAATATGTTCACTCCCTGTCACTTTAACACTCCCTACTTGACCTGAATGCAATGAGTTGACTATCCCTATAAATAACAATAGCAACTATACCTCTATGTTTGACCAGCTAAAGATGTTGGGGGCTGGTCTTGGGGGAGAGGTAAGATGGTTGACCTCCCCCAGTTGATCTGGTGTCCACACTAATCTCTCCTCGTCTGGTCTACCCCAGACTAGAGCATTGTATCCTTCTGCATAGTCTAAGTTTTACCAAGTTACTTAGCCAGGTCTAAGTTATAACAATTAACCTCTGTTGTACTTAATTGATCCAGTCTGGTTGAATTATTTTACTGAAATTAAATTACACAAGCATCTAACGGCAGAGCTGTTCCCGATCCCCAAAATGGTTAATTGAACTTTGAGAAATAGTAGACATGTCAACCCTGATGACCTATGACCGCCGGTCACTCCGCCTTACAACTTAGATCTGATTCGTGACGTCACTGATGGTGACTTAACTCAATAATTAGAATACTCTTGATATTGTACCCAGTACTATTATATAATACAATTTTAATACAAAATGAATAAAGGCTAATTTCTCTAAATTACTGAATACTATAGGATGGTTCATTATACGAAGCTATGAACAAAGCGTCGATTATTTTCACCGCGAATTCCCCTGGGGTCAGGTCCCAGGTCACCACGCGGGCTCAGCTTCCCATTCTCTTTTGTCGATAAACCACTCTGGATAATTCTTACAACCAGCCTAGTTTGTTACAGGAACAAAAAGTTTCAAGTAGCATGGGCAATGGTGAGCCCGTAGTGGACTTACCCGGCACAGGAGCGGGGCTGTAACGCGGTATTTTAGTATATGTAAGTGTATATAAAGGCGGAAGAGAAGTGTGGTGGTACACCGATTTGTTAGCCTTCATTTTCTCTAAACATAAAATTAATAATGCCAGTTGACATGAGACATTGCAAAGCGTTGGCATTATTATTAATAATAGTAATAGTAGTAGCAAAAGTAGAAATAACAGTAGTACCTGGCGGAACAGACAGCGTTGGGGTGGGAGGCGCAGTAGTGGTATGTGCAGGGCGGCTGACACAGGGAGACCTCCCGCAGCGCCTCCTGCTGCTGCTGCTGCCCGTCATCGTCTCCTGCCTTCTGCCACCACCCCAGGCGGGGGGAACCACCTTCGCTACCTATATAAGAGACCCCATACATGTGTAATAGTCAGACCCATACTTGTGTTACGTGGTGTTATAGCCAGGCCCATACTTGTGTTACGTGGTGTTATAGCCAGACCCATACTTGTGTTACGTGGTGTTATAGCCAGGCCCATACTTGTGTTACGTGGTGTTATAGCCAGGCCCATACTTGTGTTACGTGGTGTTATAGCCAGACCCATACTTGTGTTACGTGGTGTTATAGCCAGACCCATACTTGTGTTACGTGGTGTTATAGCCAGACCCATACTTGTGTTACGTGGTGTTATAGCCAGACCCATACTTGTGTTACGTGGTGTTACAGCCAGGCCCATACTTGTGTTACATGGTGTTATAGCCAGACCCATACTTGTGTTACGTGGTGTTATAGCCAGGCCCATACTTGTGTTACATGGTGTTATAACCAGACCCATACTTGTGTTACATGGTGTTATAGCCAGATCCATACTTGTGTTACGTGGTGTTATAGCCAGGCCCATACTTGTGTTACATGGTGTTATAACCAGACCCATACTTGTGTTACATGGTGTTATAGCCAGGCCCATACTTGTGTTACGTGGTGTTATAGCCAGACCCATACTTGTGTTACGTGGTGTTATAGCCAGACCCATACTTGTGTTACGTGGTGTTATAACCAGACCCATTCTTCTCATACCAAGGCATCCAGTTTGACAATATATTTGCTTGAGTTTTCCTGTTGGGTACTGTCTGTGACGGGCACGCAAGGTGACAGGAAGCCTGACGGTTATCATCTGTGACGGCAATGTAAAGTGACAGGAAACAAGGGGATCACAGAACACCCTAATATGCTTGGCCTGCTATTCATTGTGTTAAGTTGAGCAGTGTGAAGTAAAGTGTTCCATGTTTGTAGTTCTCTCCGGCGAGTCCTGTGGGCCGTTGTTCCATGAAAAGCCTAAGGCTCTTCTTTTGCATGTGTCAACTAGACATTTTGATGGCGTGATTTGGTTCGAGGTTTTCAATATTAGTATAGTGCATATACTCCGCGATATAGTATATCCTGTAGTACAGTGGTCTATGTTGTCGACTCACATTCGGGGAGATATTGGGTTTGATCTGGCAGGACAGAAATGGTTGGGCACGTTCCCTTTGAACTGTTGCCTCTGTTTACCTAGCAGCTAGTAAATAGGTATTTGAATTAGGCAACTGTTGTGGGTTGCATCCTCGGGAAGGTCAATATGGTCAGCTCAGGGATGATCTCGATAAAGTCAAGTATACAGTCTCCCTGTCCCCGACACATGGAGTCATCTCTGTGTAGTGTCGCCGTGCCTTGTTTGACGTTATCAGTCCTCGGACCCTCCACCTGCCCTGGTGTTCCAGGTGACACCCACGGTACTCTAAATATAAACTAATTGTTGTCAAAATATCTGTCACGACTAAAGTCCGGTGCCATAACAGCGCTCCGGACCCCCCGCTGGCCATTTGCGGTTATCAAAAGACAAATAAACAACAGTATCTTGCCGCTAAGAGAGCATTTTTGATAACATTTACGATAATGTTACCTTGACACGTGGCAACTTTGAAACGTTTTATTGACTGAAAATTTGCATTTTCAAATTCAACCTGTCTTCATTGCTAGGCTCTTGCTCATTTTACATTTGTGTACGAGCTTCGTGTAAATATATATATATATATATATATATATATATATATATATATATATATATATATATATATATATATATATATATATATATATATATATATATGTCGTACCTAGTAGCCAGAACGCACTTCTCAGCCTACTATGCAAGGCCCGATTTGCCTAATAAGCCAAGTTTTCCTGAATTAATATATTTTCTCTAATTTTTTTCTTATGAAATGAAAAAGCTACCCATTTCATTGTGTATGAGGTCAATTTTTTTTTATTGGAGTTAAAATTAAAGTAGATATATGTGTCGGAAAATCCGACACCATTTAATATATCATACAGACAGATAATATTTGTTGCTGTATTACCAACAAGTTACCCATAGAAAACGTAACTTGTAGTGGAATTACCGTCTATAGAAAACGGGATATCATCACCACATACTATTATAATTCACCAGCTATTCTGCTGGGAATTGTTCTTAAATACATTAGTCTTTGGACTTTACCATCATAAAAACATCTTATATAAATTAACTTAATTATCAATATTAAAGTAGAGTAAATGTGACCCTTCTATCACGTTCTGAAATCTGGACAATGTAAGCCAGGCGTCAGAGTGGAGGAAGGAGGGCAGCCATTGTTGTTGTTACTAGACCAGAGGCTCACACGGGAGCAAATTCGGCTCCTGTTAAATTTACTTGGACGTAGTGTTATGGAAACTAAAAGTGTACCATTATCAACACGCTGTCTACAAATTCAAGTTAAGTGTCTATCCGAAACCCATTATCTATCATTAGTGGCCATTAATGTCATTGGGTAGGGTTATCCGGTTAGATCACATGGAAGCCTCAAACTAAAGGTAATTAAGCCAGGTCCTCATGTTCCATGTACTGTTTTCTCTGATATACTTGTCATATATAGGATTCTGGCTTCACAGCTAGCGCACTTTTGACAGGTCAAGACGAGGAAGGATTTGTGCACCAGTTACTGGGTGATATGGAAGCTACCTAAAAGAGGATAATTTGGTGTCTACACTCTAGTTATACCTGGTGGACTAACCTGCTGTACTATAAGAGAAGGAACCTCATCAATGTATGTAGCTATTACTGTAATTTGATTGGCTGCATATGTGTAATATAAACCCCCCCTAATGTGTAGAGGATCGATTTGTGAGATTATGAGATTATTGCAGAAATACAGTCCACTTATCATTATACAAATTGCTATCGAAGTATACAAATTAACGTAAATATAAATTCATATAAATTAAATAAATATAAATCTCACAGGTCGGTTCCCACATTATTTGGTCATCTTCGAACCGGATGACGGATTATTTGATCCTTTGAACCCACATTTGGTCATCTTAGTACCGGATGAACCAGTTATCCAGTGGATTCATTAAATATACTAGTGCAGTGTTATTTAAACAAAGCCAGCCAGTCAAAGACAGCGGCGAAGCCTCGTGGGAGCTCAGGAGCCTCCCTCAGCCCAGTTCAGCCTTCGTCAGCGGTTTCATGCACACCCACAGATATTTGGTGGCGTGTTATTTCGTGAAATGACAGCGCTAATATAGAATCCAGCCAAATTAGTGACTGTGTCTTCGCGAGATTGTTCACGGATTTCGTGGTGTTACATTTCGCGAGAGATTATCTACGAATTTTGTGGACTTTATTTCGCGAGGTCACTAATAACATTTAATACTTCTAGATAATATTAGAAGTTTCATAGAGGCTAATTAAGAGGCTATTAACAATAATTGTGTATATTATTTCTCCAAAATAGAGAATCATTTAATATAAATTGCACTAGTGTTCTCAATATAATATTTACTAATTGCCAACCCACAACAGGGTAGGATATGACTAGTTGAACTATTATTGTTCATCCTAGTCCCATTATTACAATAGTCAGTTGTACTATATTGAATAACCTAACACCATTAATGAATGGTGCAGACCCTATTTTGGGTGTAATTTTTATCAACTCGAGTTGAGTTGTATATATAATAATTTACTTATGATCATTACACCTTTGAGTGATTAATTAGTGTCTCTTCCATCCTAGGGTGATATAGAAGAGCTAACCTAAAGGTACTTCCAGTGACACTGGTTTATCACTCAAATCATTAGTGTGTATGATTGTATATATATAATGTGTATTAATTTTAAGTGCTAACCTCTAGTAGAGGTAGGATTATTGCCTAGTGAGTGCAGAATTTACCCTAGGCTACCATTAGTGTTTGTTCAGTATTATGAGCAGCCCAAGTACAAGCCCCACAAGGCTTCACCAACGAGCCAGTATGGATAATGCAGGGAGAATGAAAAGAACCCTTGCAGGTCTTAAAGGCCACTTAACAAGACAGATCAAGAAATGTGAAGATTTGTCACAACAATCAACAGTTGATTATGCTGACCTGGAAAGCTATTATCAAGCAGCTGCAGGTAAATTTGAGCAAATCAAATGCCAAATGGCTGTCCTTGTGGGGACAGACTACTACCATCAATTCATTGGTAGCCCTACTAAATATCAGGGCATAACCATGTTAAACTCTGCAGGAGGTAAATTACTCTCAGGCCCAGTATCAAGCCTGAGGAGACCTATGCCTGCAGATAAACAATACCAGTAGAAATCTAAATTTGTCAGCTGATTATATTTCTCCAGTAGCATTATACTAAGGAGATTACAGCTGACTATAGTAACAGAGGTTGATGTTAGTATCATCATTTAAAGCTGAAGATGAGTTCATGAGGCTTCAGTGGCAAATCAGTGAACAGTAGCCTAAAACAGCTACAAGTCACTGCGACCAATGTCACTGAACCCACTGCAGTCTCAGAACCATACTTTACTTTAATGATGAGCTATTCAATCCTCTGAATCAATTAACTAAATTAAACCCCAATAAATCTGATGACTGATTTGATACATTTATTATTTAATCAAGATGTATTCCATGGGCCTCAGTGTTTATATATCAGTGACCAGTTACCTGAAGAAACTTCAAGTTATATCTAGTGTCACTGATCTCACTGCAGTCCCTGAATCATACTTGACTGTAGTACTTGATCACATCCAGTCTTCTGGGTTAAATAATATGTAATAAGGCTTGAATATTAGCCTTTCAAGAGTTGACAGGGAAATGAAATCGCATTAGACTTCTAAACCCTGCAACTCTAGTACGGGACATCCGTCCTGTACGAACAGACGCACAAATGTGTGATTACTAACTACTAACATCAAATTAATCTAATAATTCGAAGGAGGAGTATCGGTGTTCGTCTGTTCTAAATAGGACTTCGACCCGTGAGCAGCCCCCTGGGGAATTATGTCGGAAAATCCGACACCATTTAATATATCATACAGACAGATAATATTTGTTGCTGTATTACCAACAAGTTACCCATAGAAAACGTAACTTGTAGTGGAATTACCGTCTATAGAAAACGGGATATCATCACCACATACTATTATAATTCACCAGCTATTCTGCTGGGAATTGTTCTTAAATACATTAGTCTTTGGACTTTACCATCATAAAAACATCTTATATAAATTAACTTAATTATCAATATTAAAGTAGAGTAAATGTGACCCTTCTATCACGTTCTGAAATCTGGACAATGTAAGCCAGGCGTCAGAGTGGAGGAAGGAGGGCAGCCATTGTTGTTGTTACTAGACCAGAGGCTCACACGGGAGCAAATTCGGCTCCTGTTAAATTTACTTGGACGTAGTGTTATGGAAACTAAAAGTGTACCATTATCAACACGCTGTCTACAAATTCAAGTTAAGTGTCTATCCGAAACCCATTATCTATCATTAGTGGCCATTAATGTCATTGGGTAGGGTTATCCGGTTAGATCACATGGAAGCCTCAAACTAAAGGTAATTAAGCCAGGTCCTCATGTTCCATGTACTGTTTTCTCTGATATACTTGTCATATATAGGATTCTGGCTTCACAGCTAGCGCACTTTTGACAGGTCAAGACGAGGAAGGATTTGTGCACCAGTTACTGGGTGATATGGAAGCTACCTCAAAGAGGATAATTTGGTGTCTACACCCTAGTTATACCTGGTGGACTAACCTGCTGTACTATAAGATAAGGAACCTCATCAATGTATGTAGCTATTACTGTAATTTGATTGGCTGCATATGTGTAATATAAACCCCCCCTAATGTGTAGAGGATCGATTTGTGAGATTATGAGATTATTGCAGAAATACAGTCCACTTATCATTATACAAATTGCTATCGAAGTATATAAATTAACGTAAATATAAATTCATATAAATCAAATAAATATAAATCTCACAGGTCGGTTCCCACAATATGACCGAACCTAACCAACCCTACCTAACCTAACCTAACCTATCTTTATAGATTAGGTTGGGTTATGTGGCAGAAAAAGTTAGGTTAGGTTAGGTTAGGTAGTCGAAAAACAATTAATTCATGGAAACTTGGCTTATTAGGCAAATCGGGCCTTGCATAGTAGGCTGAGAAGTGCGATCTGGCTACTAGGTACGACATATATATATATATATATATATATATATATATATATATATATATATATATATATATATATATATATATATATATATATATATATGCGAACAAGCCTGAATGGTCCCCAGGCATAATAAATGCAACTGAAAACTCACACCTCAGAAGTGACTCCTTTGAAACTGGTGTACAGGGCACCTAATCCACTCGACCATCACGACCGGACAAAAGGTGATGGTAGCCGAGGCTATTTGCTATTAGCCGAGGTAGCCGAGTGGATTAGGTGCCCTGTACACCAGTTGCAAAGTGCAAAGTATATATATATATATATATATATATATATATATATATATATATATATATATATATATATATATATATATATATATATATATATACAACTTTAGAACACTTTCCCACCAGGAGACTCGAACCCTAGCCAGCACAGAAGCCTTCCAGCAACTGGCATAACAGGTACGCCTTAACCCACTCCACCACCTGCTCAGACCCTTAAAAGAGATGGTAATTTCGGAGTATTTATACACTCCAAAGACCACCACCTCCCAAGAGCACTAGAGCAAGTGAGGGGTCATTTTAACGTTTTTTCATCAAGTCCCTGTTAATATGGGACTTAATATTAATAGGTTAGGTTAGGTTAGGTTAGGTGGCCGAAAAAGTTAGGTTAGGTTAGGTTTGGTAGGTTAGGTACTCGAAAAACAATTAAGTCATGAAAACTTGGCTTATTAGGCAAATCGGGCCTTGCATAGTAGGCTGAGAAGTGCGTTCTGGCTACTAGGTACGACATATATATATATATATATATATATATATATATATATATATATATATATATATATATATATATATATATATATATATATATATATGTTGTACCTAGTAACCAGAATGTACTTTTTGGCCTACTATGTAAGGCCCGATTTGCCTAATAAGCCAAATTTTCCTGAATTATTATATTTTCTCTAATTTTTTTCTCATGAAATGATAAAGCTACCCATTTCATTATGTATGAGGTAAATTTTTTTTAATTGGAGTTAAAGCTAACGTAGATATATGACCGAACCTAACCAACCCTACCTAACCTAACCTAACCTATCTTTATAGGTTAGGTTAGGTTAGGTAGCCGAAAAAGTTAGGTTAGGTAGTCGAAAAACAATTAATTCATGAAAACTTGGCTTATTAGGCAAATTTGGCCTTGCATAGTAGGCTGAGAAGTGCGTTCTGGCTACTAGGTACGACATATATACATATATATATATATGTCGTACCTAGTAGCCAGAACTCACTTCTCAGCCTACTATTCAAGGCCCGATTTGCCTAATAAGCCAAGTTTTCATGAATTAATGTTTTTTCGTCTACCTAACCTACCTAACCTAACCTAACCTAGCTTTTTTTGGCTACCTAACCTAACCTTACCTATAAATATAGGTTAGGTTAGGTTAGGTAGGGTTGGTTAGGTTCGGTCATATATCTACGTTAATTTTAACTCCAATAAAAAAAATTGACCTCATACATAGAGAAAAGGGTTGCTTTATCATTTCATAAGAAAAAAATTATAGTAAATATATTAATTCAGGAAAACTTGGCTTATTAGGCAAATCGGGCCTTGAATAGTAGGCTGAGAAGTGAGTTCTGGCTACTAGGTACGACATATATATATATATATATATATATATATATATATATATATATATATATATATATATATATATATATATATATATATATATAGTTTGTATTATTTAAAAGTATCTCGAAATCTATTGCATATTTTTATCAATGAGAAGAGAAAGCAAACAAGTGTTATCTTCTTCGTACTCTGAACCCCTGGCGGCCACAGGGGTCCAACAGCACCCGAGACCTACCCAGGAGGGCTTCCCCGCCCCGCCTGACCCAGCAGGAGGGCGGGGAAACTGTATCAGATCGTGGCGGATTCATCCTGGCACACACGATAACCGTCTGGCGCCGAGATAACGTGGCGAGAACCCCCACAGCGCCGCCGCCAGGTACCCTCGCCCCTCTCTGCAAGTACCGCGTGTTTCACTAGGCTGTGTGAATCATTGCTGGGAACATTGTGAGGCAAGAGACGCTCTAGCTAACTAGCACCAACATACACTCGCGCAGAAATGTCCAGTCAACGATTAAGACATCCTAAAATAGCTGGGAGGCCTATCAAATATCAGAAATAAGCTTCTATAAAACGAATAAATAAATTTGAGTTTTGCTAAATTTGTAGGACTGTTTTGCAGATGGATCCCTGCTTCTACATCTAAGGTTTCAGACAATCTAAAGGTTTTCAATCTGCCAACCTCTTCTTTTGTCTAATTTCTGTCTCCTGGTCATAGAGTTCAATCTGGCTTGTGAGGCAAGATTTACCATTCCTGAATCCATGCTGGTGATTGTTGTTTGTTCTGTCCTGAGGTGCTACTTGCCCCTCCCTCTCCGTCCTCTCTATGACGCTGTTGTTGTTGTTTTAGATTCAGCTACTCAGAACAAAAAGTTGCAAGCAGCACGGGCTATGGTGAGCCCCTCGTACTCATCTGACACAGGAGATGTGCAGTGCAGGCCATGACCCCACATGTGTGTAAGTTAGGGACATTGGCACAGCACTTCCTGCTCCCCCAACAGTAGCCGAATTGAGGAAACAGTATATGTATAAGATCTATATGATGATGCTCTTAGTTTGTAGATGTGTAGGTGTTGAAGGGCAGTGAACTTAGCATCAAGCAGAGTATGATGGTTGTGTGTGATCAGTTTACTGGTGGTGAGTGTGTAGGCGCCATGATGGCAAAATATATTATCTGCCAAGGTTTGGTAGGGAATGCTGCACTTGTTCAGCTTAGTATACCTTGCGCTATCAAAACATTTAAATGTGAGTGACTGTTCCTTGAATCCTGATAGAATCCAACATCTAATGCCGTTATTGGAGTAGGAATAATTATCTCAGTTGCAGTCGAAAAAACGAAAAGAATGGACAGGTTGGACGGGAACGCTGGGAAGTAAGTGCCCATATAAACCTCAGGGATATTAGGAAGAATAGTATGAGCGTCAGTGCAAAGAAATGCTTTGCCCGAAAAGCAAAAAACGCCTGCCCGAAACGCTTTGCGTAATAGTGGCTTTAGGCATTGTATGTACTAGCTTTATCTATAAATCCATCAACTTTTGTATCTTACCTTGTATGTATGTACTTTACCTGAATAAATATTTGTATTTGTATTTGTATATGAAATGAAATGGACTTAGAGTAAAGAGGTAGAGGAAGACTTCGTACATACCTTCACAAGTATATATCACAGACCAGAGGGCTCGGGAAATGCATACCAGTCACTTAGAGGCTAAAGTATTGTCAGGACCCAAGGGTTGAAGCTCAACTTCCATAAGGAACGTTAGGTGAAAACAGAGGGGTGAATATAATAGAGTACCTACCGGGAACACAGACACCAGACACCCTGGAGTAGTAGGTGAGGGAGGTGCTTGCCCTGTAGGTCCAGACGACAGGTTCTCTCAGGTGACAGGTGAGACCAGCGTCGCACCTGCCCAGGTAACCTAGGGCTCCGCCACACACCTGTCGGGTTAAGGATCTTGTACCGGCTCTTACACAAATTTAGGTGAAGTCCGCCATCTTTGTTTATCGTACAAGAGACGGACTTATTCCTGCATTATTATAGATTATATTTTATTCATTATTCTTTATTTCTCATTTCATATGTCCATGTTTATATCACTCAGGCTCCATAGCCTGTCTTGGAAATGTCATTATATCTCTCTCTACCTAACTAGAAACTATTTGTGTGTCTACCTGTGTATTTTCTGTTTGTGCCTGCAGGATAGAGTCGTTAGCTCTTGGACTCCGCCTTTCTAACCGACACGTATCTAATGTACTGACCCCCGACCTATTTGTTCTCTATTATGTATACGGTATATATTTCTCACACATATTCTCCAGGATGCAACTCGCAACAGCGGTCTAACTCCCTGGTACCTATTTAATTTTAAGTAAACAGGGGCATGAGGTGAAAGAAACTCTGCCCTTATTGCTGCTCCTGCCAGTGTAACAGCCAAAGATTCTCCATTCTTCCTCCCTTCTTCCCTATTCTTCGTTCCTTGTTCCTCCTCCCTTCCTTCAGAGCTTGAGTTACAGCTCCAGGCAGTATATGGCCCATATCCAGGCCTGGTCGACGACCGGGCCGCGGGGACGCTAAGCCCCGGAAGCACCTCAAGGTAACCTCAAGGTAACTTCAAGGTAAGGTATCCTGTGATTCCTCACATAGATTTCTAAAGTCATTTCTTATATTGGTCAATCCATCATTGCATTGCCGCTGATTATATCCTTTAGATGTAGACTCCAGGAGACAGGTTCGGTGTGATTTCAACCATCAGGTGTTTCTCTCTACTCAATTCTTGAAGGATTTTATCTTCCATTCGGTACCTTGTGTTCGGCTTCCTGTTCATTACACCAAGTTTCATTACTTTGCACTTATTTGTATTAAACTCTAGTAACCATTTGTTAGACCATTCTTGCGGTTTGTCAAGATGATCTTGAAGCTTCTTGTTATCATCCTCTCCCTTAATCCTCCTCATAATAGCTTTGACGTCCTTATTTCCCATAATGACTTGCTTCTTATAGACTTTGCTAAAGCTGTTGTCAAGGTACCACAGCTTCTTATAGACTTTGCTAAAGCTGTTGTCAAGGTACCACATGAAAGACTGGCAAGGAAAGTACAGGCAAATGGAATAAATGGCAGAATACTAGAATGGATTAAACAATGGTTAAAGCAAAGGGTAGTGCTAAATGGCAAGGAATCTGACTGGAGAAATGTGCCGAGTAGGGTACCACAAAGGTCCATATTGTGGTCAACCCTTTGTGTCATACATCAATGACAGATGAGAATATTACAAACCACATCATTATATTTGCAGATAACATTTAAAATTTATAGTAAAGTTGAAAGTGAAAATTATATTGTGGCCTTACAGAGAGATCGACATGAACTCCACCAATGGTCAGAAGATTGACAAATGCTTTTTAATATCGATAAATGTATGACCTTGTATGTGGGGCATAACAGTCCACGTCACAACTACCAGATTAACAACATGACCTCGCAGCAGACTGATGAAGAAACGGACCTCTAGTCACAATCCATCATTCACTGAAAGCTGCACAACAAGTGGGAGCGGCAGTAAAAAAAAATCTAACCAATACCTAGGAATAATCAAGCGTATCTTTGACTTTAAAGAAAAGAAGGTTGTCATTCAATTGTATAAATAAATCTTTGATGCGCCCCGACCTGGGTTATAGCATCCAGGCCTGGAGACGTCATCTTCAGGAGGACATAGCTGCTCTCGAGAAGGTGCACCACCGGGTAACAACAAAAATTCTAGAACTAATTCAACTCTGGTATGAGGAGCGGTTGAGGGCCACAGAGCTAACAACACTGTAAGTCAGGCATGACAAGGCTGATCTCGTCGAAGTGTTCAAAATACTGAACAAGTTCAAGTATGTTTATTGAGACAAGAAAATACATCTCAAAGGCATTCTGAACAATTTGGAGGATGTTGATCCGGACAACTTCTTTAAAAGGTCAGATGTAACACAAACAAGGAGCATCGGTTTCAAGCTCAACAAGCCACAATGCAGGACTGAAAACAGAGGTTTTTTTTCACCCATGGGGTTATTAACCCCTGGAACCGTCTACCCACCGAAGCCGTAAATGCCAAAACTCTACTGAACTTTAAATCCAGCTTGAAAAACTCATCAGGACAAATGGGGGAACCTTTGGAAAGCCGCCGGCTTCCTGTCCTCATCGAGGCCACTAGAGTGTTAGTGACCCTCAGGTAAATCATTTTTGCATCATCATGAAGCATTGAGAGGAATGAGTTAATTATTACTTATTGACATTATTATTGTCATTCCCTCTCATTATTGTGGATCCCTATAACATATTAAATTAAAATGTTTCTCTTTGCCATGTCCAACAGCTTAGTTCTCTGCGTATCTGTGTCCTCATGTGGTTGTTCTCCCAGTCTAACTTTCCATGGTTAAAGTCTCTCATAACTAAAAATCGGGATTCCTATAAGCGACAGAAGTTACCTTTTCTATTGTGGTAATAATTGCCATATTGTAACTCATACTCGTGAGTAGATCTGTTGTCATTTAGTGGAGGGTTGACTGTCACTTCAATTGCAATTTGTGGCCCACCCATTGTCATAGTGCTTATTATGTAGTCTCTAAGCTCTTAACAGCCCAGAATAATCATCTCAAATCTCCAGTCCTTTCTTATCGTCAGAGGCACTTCTTCTCCCCTTCCTGCATTAGTTACAACACTAGACAGTTTCGTTGCTGAGAGTGAAGTTACATCTGAGTTTTCTTTGACATCTTTTCGCAAGTTCACCTGTTTTCTTTGTAACTGAGTGATTGTAACCCATCCACCGCTGCCCGCTGGATGGGGGGCGGTGTGCAGGATAAACATGTCAATTGTGACACTAGCTCTCCACATATGTCAGTTACTTAATTTAGAAACTGTACTTGTGGTCGGTCTTGAACTCATTATTGATGTGACGATGTGCATTGAATTTTGTAACTAGCTCATCAAGATTGTAACTTGCTTAGCTAAATGAATTGTGGGGTTCAGTCCCTGAGCCCATTATGTGCCTCTGTAACCCTTTCCACTACTGCCTACAATATGGGTATGGGGTGCATAATAAATGAACTAAACCAACTTTCTTTGTAAATTCCATCTAAGTATTTGTAAATTAATTTCAAGCTCATTTGATTTGTCCATCCACACTTACTCCCATCCTTGTTATCAGTTCCATTGGTGTAGGAAGGTGTTCTGTGGTATGTGAGAGCAATTAGAATGGGTTATTGTATAATAAGGTGGTTGATGGTTGAGTAGTTAAGTAGCTGCAAGGGGAATGTTGGACATGGGGATGGAAGTAAGTTGTCTTAGGGTGCGGAAGCGGTTTCTTGATGAGTTTGGGGCAATTGGATGTTATGGGTGGGAGGAGTGGAGGGGTCTAGCTCCTGTTTAGTATTATATATAGGGCTTTATGGATTGAAATTAATATGTAGATGCTTGGGTGGGGGCATGAGAGGGAGAGGGGCCACTGTGGGGTTGGTGAAAAACGGAGAAAGTTTGTTGAAAGGTTGGGAAGGTGACTAGTCTACAACTCTGTTATATTTCTCTCTGTGGTTGTTGGCCTGCTGGTCATCGGCTTGTCATTTTCCTTTGTAGTTGTTGAGTTGGGGACTATGGTTTTCCTGTATGTCTCCACCTTTGTGCACCACTTCCTTGTTCCTGTTTCCGTGGCTCTGTCTTCCTTCGTAATGTCCTTCTGAAGAAATAATTTTCCATGATTTGTTACATTTAGAAGTTTTCTCTTCTTTATTGGGATTGTCTTGTTCATGAACACTATCTTTATCTGTCTCTTTCTTTTCATGTTGTACCTGCCTAGCCTGAAAACTTTCTGTTCACTACTTTCATTTCCTCCCCCCCCCCCTCTCCTCACTATCTGTATCTCTGTATAAGACCTTTTCTCTCTACTCTTGTTTGGAACCTCCTTGTATTGGAACTCTTTCCAATAAATAATAAAATAAATAAATAAATAAAGAAATATGTAGTTAGTGCACCATGCTGCTTCCTGCAATGTGGGTGTTTGTATGGCTACTTACTGCAACACAGACATGGCCTTTGGGTTCCTTTTTAACATTTCTGCAAATTGTCCTGTAAGAGGTCCAGCCACTGTTTACTTTCCAGCTTTTTGAAGAGTGGTTGTCTCATTAATGGGCCAGAGAATGGTTTTCCTTTATGTTTTTAATCTCTGTTTTGCCAGTCTCAATTCACTCTGAAGGTTGTTTATTGTTTTTCTCATTTCTTTCAATATAATAATGATCTTATTCAATACTCAGTTCATCGTCCCAGTAATTGTGTTCCTCTGGTTTATGTTCATGTTCATTCATATCCTTGCCTAACTCCAGTGGTCCTTCCCTCCACCTGTGTGTGTGTGTGTGTGTGTGTGTGTGTGTGTGTGTGTGTGTGTGTGTGTGTGTGTGTGTGTGTGTGTGTGTGTGTGTGTGTGTGTGTGTGTGTGTGTGTGTGTGTGTACTCACCTAGTTGTGTTTGCGGGGTTGAGCTCTGGCTCTTTGGTCCCGCCTCTCAACCGTCAATCAACAGGTGTACAGATTCCTGAGCCTATTGGGCTCTATCATATCTACACTTGAAACTGTGTATGGAGTCAGCCTCCACCGCATCACTTCCTAATACATTCCATTTGTCAACCACTCTGACACTAAAAAAGTTCTTTCTAATATCTCTGTGGCTCATTTGGGCACTCAGTTTCCACCTGTGTCCCCTAGTGCGTGTGCCTCTTGTGTTAAATAGCCTGTCTTTATCTACCCTGTCGATTCCCTTGAGAATTTTGAATGTGGTGATCATGTTCCCCCTAACTCTTCTGTCTTCCAACGAAGTGAGGTTTAATTCCCGTAGTCTCTCCTCGTAGCTCATACCTCTCAGCTCGGGTACTAGTCTGGTGGCAAACCTTTGAACCTTTTCCAGTTTAGTCTTATCCTTGACTAGATATGGACTCCATGCTGGGGCTGCATACTCCAGGATTGGCTTGACATATGTGGTATACAAAGTTCTGAATGATTCTTTACACAAGTTTCTGAATGCCGTTCGTATGTTGGCCAGCCTGGCATATGCCGCTGATGTTATCCTCTTGATATGTGCTGCAGGAGACAGGTCTGGCGTGATATCAACCCCCAAGTCTTTTTCTTTCTCTGACTCCTGAAGAATTTCCTCTTCCAGATGATACCTTATATCTGGCCTCCTGCTCCCTACACCTATCTTCATTACATTACATTTGGTTGGGTTAAACTCTAACAACCATTTGTTCGACCATTCCTGCAGCTTGTCCAGGTCTTCTTGAAGCCTCAAGCTGTCATCCTCTGTCTTAATCATTCTCATAATTTTGGCGTCGTCAGCAAACATAGAGAGGAATGAGTCTATACCCTCTGGGAGATCATTTACGTATATCAGAAACAGGATAGGTCCGAGTACAGAGCCCTGTGGGACTCCACTGGTGACTTCACGCCAATCTGAGTCTGAGATCTCACCCCTCACTGTAACTCTCTGCTTCCTATTGCTTAGGTACTCCCTTATCCACTGGAGCGCCCTACCAGTTACTCCTGCCTGTTTCTCCAGCTTATGCATTAACCTTTTATGGGGTACTGTGTCAAAGGCTTTCCGACAGTCCAAAAAAATGCAGTCCGCCCATCCTTCTCTTTCTTGCTTAATCTTTGTCACCTGATCGTAGAATTCCATTAAGCCTGTAAGGCAAGATTTACCCTCCCTGAACCCATGTTGATGAGTAGTCACGAAGTCTCTTCTCTCCAGATGTGTTACTAGGTTTTTTCTCACAATCTTCTCCATCACCTTGCATGGTATACAAGTTAAGGACACTGGCCTGTAGTTCAGTGCCTCTTGCCTGTCACCCTTTTTGTATATTGGGACTACATTAGCAGTCTTCCATATTTCTGGTAGGTCTCCCGTTTCCAGTGACCTACTATACACTATGGAGAGTGGCAAACAAAGTGCTCCTGCACACTCTTTCAATACCCATGGTGAGATTCCGTCCGGCCCAACAGCTTTTCTCACGTCCAGCTCCAATAGGTGCTTCTTGACCTCATCTCTTGTAATTTCGAACCTTTCCAAGGTCGCCTGGTTTGCTGCCACCTCTCCTAGCGCTGTGACTTCTCGCTGTTCTATTGTAAAGTCCTCGTGTGTGTGTGTGTGTGTGTGTGTGTGTGTGTGTGTGTGTGTGTGTGTGTGTGTGTGTGTGTGTGTGTGTGTGTGTGTGTGTGTGTGTGTGTGTGTGTGTGTGTGTGTGTGTGTGTACCAGATGACACACCTGACCCCTGGTCTTGGCACACACAGGGCAGCAACCACACACGCCCCTGGTCACGCCCCCAGCACACCGCAGGCGGCGCGGCCGGTGTTCCTCACAGTGTATCTGCAGGAAAATATATCATATACGGTATAAGTATATACAGAATATATATATATATCTATAAGATACAATGGTTGCCTGTTCGAGGTAGTGGCCTAGATACTCGGGACAAGTCTCACCAAACATTGCAGGGTGATTTGTGATTGCGTGCAGTGTTATCGGATAGTTAAGGTCGATCCCCATGCCCCTCTTTAAGAAGGATCGGCTACTACTATGAAGTATTAAATGTGAGCTTCATTGTCCACACAGTTGACCAGACCACACGCTAGTAGGTGAAGGGACGACGGTTCGGTCCGTCCTGGACCATTCTCAAGTCGATTGTCAATCGACTTGAAAATGATCCAGGGCGGACCGAAACGTCGTCGTCCCTTCACCTTCTAGTGTGTGGTCTGGTCAACTTACTTTAGCCGCGTTATTGTGACTCATCGCCTGCATATGTCCACACAGTGTTAAAACAGATTTCACAGCCGTTATGACCTCGACTCAATGTTGATAACGTTCGTTCAACGTCGATTCAATACTCGAGCATATTTTGACCATTGAAAAGGAGAACGGGAGGGAGTGAGAGAACTAGAGAAATGGAAGGGAAGGAGAATGGTTGACAGAGAGAACGGGAGAATGGGAGCGAGGTAGAGAGAGAGAGAGATGATTGATTGATGAAGATTAACCACCTAAAAGGTGGCACGGGCATGAATAGCCCGTAAGTGGTGGCCCCATTGAGCCATTACCATTACCAGTATCATTAGATCATACTGGAGATCTGTGAAGGTGCGACTGCACCCTGCGTGACGGGAGATGTCTCCCATGAGAGAGAGAGAGAGAGAGAGAGAGAGAGAGAGAGAGAGAGAGAGAGAGAGAGAGAGAGAGAGAGAGAGAGAGAGAGAGAGAGAGAGAGAGAGAGAGAGAGAGAGAGAGAGAGAGAGAGAGAGAGAGAGAGAGAGAGAGAGAGAGAGAGAGAGAGAGAGAGAGAGAGAGAGAGAGAGAGAGAGAGAGAGAGAGAGAGAGAGAGAGACAGAGACAGAGACAGAGACAGAGACAGAGACAGAGACAGAGACAGAGAGAGAGAGAGAGAGAGAGAGAGAGAGAGAGAGAGAGAGAGAGAGAGAGACAGAGACAGAGACAGAGACAGAGACAGAGACAGAGAGACAGAGACAGAGACAGAGACACAGAGACAGAGAGAGAGAGAGAGAGAGAGAGAGAGAGAGAGAGAGAGAGAGAGAGAGAGAGAGAGAGAGAGAGAGAGAGAGAGAGAATCAGCAAAGAGAGAGATAACCAGACAAAAAGACAAACAGAAGAGACCTGGGCACTGCCGGGTAGCTCCTCTACATCTATTAAAGAGAAAGCTCATGTGGTTGTGTGTTCGAGGTTGGACACCAGACTCTTCAAGGGTTAGCCTCGCGCAACTTTGTATGGTGATTTTATGGAGGATCTCACAGAGTGGTCGGGGTCGGCCCCTTTGCTTTCCCCTTGAAGGAACAGTGGCCTCCACACCCCCTTCACGAAGTTGGAAAATCCAATGTACAGCCAAAAGTCCGAATAGTTTAGTAATCGTTTAAATCTCCAGTCCAAATCTCCAGTCACCAGTCTCCGTGGTGTAGTGGTAAGACACTCGCCTGGCGTTCCGCAAGCGCTATGTCATGGGTTCGTATCCTGGCCGGGGAGGATTTACTGGGCGCAATTCCTTAACTGTAGCCTCTGTTTAACGCAACAGTAAAATGTGTACTTGGATGAAAAAACGATTCTTCGCGGCAGGGGATCGTATTCCAGGGACCTGCCCGAAACGCTACGCGTACTAGTGGCTGTACAAGAATGTAACAACTCTTGTATATATAAAAAAAAAAAAAAAAATGTTAGTGCGTTCAGATATTGACATGCAACTTGAAGGTTATGATATAGTATCCCACAGCTGCTGGCTCCTTCAATGAACTTCACACTGTGAATACGAACCGAGTTTCTCGTGCACTGGTAGGATCGTCTGTGTCCTTTGCAGATCTGCAAAGGACACACACACACTTCCTCTACTCATACACTGTTGTGTATGATTGATAAGAGTTGTTTGGTCTCACTGTCTCCTAAGTCAAGGTGGACTGCCTTCCTAAATACCGACTTGGAGAACACGTCGTATTGACGTGTCATAGGCTGCCAAAATTGTTTGCACACCTTCAGAAGTACGGAAGGTTGGGCAAGGTTAAGCACCTTGTGAGAGGGTAGTCCCATATTCTCTGTTGCACCCTCTTCAAGTCATTGACTTTTTCCTTCTGTATTAGAGCAAGGGCGTTGTAGCCCAAAAGTGCTCCATCTCGTTGATGTGTTGAGGTCTTAACCCAGTCTTACCTCCTGAGGAGCCCGGAAGCAATGATATATAATAATAATAATAAAATAATAATAGTAACTTATTTTAACATACAACAGTTCAAGTAAGAGCAGTAATTTAGTAGGTAACCAGGAGACGCTTACTGTGATACAAGTTGTGCTCACCTTGGAACATGGTGGGCAGCGCAGCAGCACGGAGTCATCGTCAATGATGTGCTCTCTGTTGACGCCCCCGCCTAGTCTGTGGGAGGGATGATCGCCCCCACCCTGCCTGTGGGGAGGGAGAGTGCCCCCACCCTGCCTGTGGGGAGGGAGAGTGCCCCCAGCCTGCCTTAACGTGGTCACGTGGGTGAGGTTGAGGTGAGGGCCTGGTGAAGGGTGGTGGTGGAGGGGACGCGAGCACAGCGCCACACCCACCAACAACACCCACACACTCTCCATAACAATCCGTGCATTGATTGTTCTTCGCATTCTTCAATACTTTAGATTGATAAAATTCCTTTTGTGCTCTTTCGGTCTTGCAAGACGCTTTACTACGTCAGTATATTTAGCGCGGAGACTGTCTTCCCAGGACGATCTGCAGGGTACTCACACTAACTACTTCCTCACTCCTGTTGATTTATAATAATTCATGATTATGTTATGGAGCAAATGACGGGATGGCGTAGAAGACGTGGGGTCGCTGGAGTGCTAACAGTGACTGCCCGGACCGGTACAAGCGGAGTTGATACCTGGTTGATACCTGGTTGATACCTGGTTGATGGGGTTCTGGGAGTTCTTCTACTCCCCAAGCCCTGCCCGAGGCCAGGCTTGACTTGTGAGAGTTTGGTCCACCAGGCTGTTGCTTGGAGCGGCCCGCAGGCCCACATACCCACCACAGCCCGGTTGGTCCGGCACTCCTTGGAGTGTTGTCAACGCCTACGTCGCCCGAGCTCTCACGCACAGCTCTGTTTGGAAGCAGGTCGACGAGGAACTGTGTAGAGTGAGGCAATAATGGCTTCTCGAACGGTTACGTTGAAGACGTCATTAAAAGAAAAGTGACACGCCATGAACCCATGAAGAAGCAACCAGCACAACACCCGTACCCCTTATCAAACTTTTTTACAGGAATTTCTTTTCCACGGCTTACAAAATGGAGGAAAGAATCCTGAAATATATAATTGATAGGAACGTTATCCCAGTCTTATCTCCAGAACGTTATCACAGTCAACTGGCATACCAGGAAAGGCTTAATGTGACAAAACTGACAACCCTACAGATTAGTCAGGGCCGGTCTCACTTAGACCTTCTGAACATTAAACAAGAACACTCATGCAAGTCTGGCCCACATTTTCACAAGGTCCACCGAGACCCAAGAAAGAATTTAAGGACCCTTATACAACCCATCGACTTCCTATACCCGCCACGGCTTCTGGAGATACTGACCATCAGGTGAATACAGAAATGTGAGGTCAGAGGTCAGTACACTCGTTCAGGGACCATGATACTGTATCTCCCGCGTTAAGAAGACTTTGTAGCTCGTTCTTAAATTTTCTTGAATTTACCTGAACCATCTCCCTAGTGGCCTCAATTGGGAGAGGAAGCGCGGCGTGTCAAAGGTCCCCCAGTGTTCCTAAGGATTTTTTCCTACTGAATTTTGAATTGAAATAATGTCTTGGAATTTACGGCCACAGCAGGTAGATGGTTCCATGGGTGAAACAGCGTCTCCTGTCTCCTGTTATTTGCCTTACATTGTAGTTTAATGAGCTTGAAGCTGTTGCTCCTTTTGTGTGTTGCTTTGACCTTTTAAATAAGTGATCCTAAAAGTGAATCAGTATTTTAAAAGTCACGATGAGATCAGCCCTGTCATGTCTGGTTTGCAGTGCTGTTAGCCCTGAGGCCCTCAACCGTCTCTGGTATGAGAGTTGACGTAGTTCTGAGATGATTTTTTTGCTCTGTGTTATACTTTCTCCAAAGTAAATATGTAATTTTGAAGGTGGGGTCTCCATGCTTGGGTACAGTAGTTCAGATGGGGACGCATCAGAAACTTGTACAGTTGAATAACCACCTTCTTTTCCTTTGCCTGTTTTTAACCATTACTAGACAAGTGAAGGAGATAAGTGCATGGCAGACGAATAATTGCATCCTTCTTCAATTAGCGTTAATGTGATATTTACAAGTACGCCGCCTCGATGGCACGACGACGGAACGTTGAAACATTCCACTATGTAAACGCTAACCAAACCCCTAGGAATAATCAAGCGTATCTTTACCTTAAGGAAAAGAAGGTAGTCATGTAATTGTATGTCTCTGATGCGTCCCCTGTCAGAGACATCCAAGAATGGAGCGTCCAGGCATGCAGACCTCATCTTCGGAAAAAAATAGCTGCTCCGGAGAAAGTGCAACACCGAGCAACAAAAATCATTCCAGAGCTAAGTCAACTCCCGTATCAGGAAAGGTTGAGGGCCACAGGGCCAACAACACTGCAGACCAGGCATGACAGACCGGATCTCACTGAGACTTTTAAAATACTTAACATTGAACCTGAGATCCCCGATTGTGAGTCGAGAACGAAGCCAACCGTAGTATCAGTCAAGCTATCAATCAATTATCAATCAAGCTATCAATGCTTTCAATCCAAGCTATCAATGTGCTTTAATATGCTTACTAATCTTTGTCAAATTTTGGTACAGTTTACCTGTTAACATTTTAGAAATTTTGCCAGAAATTACCTACTTAATATTATCTGTTAGATTAAAGATCTGCCCGAAACGCTATGCGTACTAGTGGCTTCAAGTTCAAGTTCAAGTTCAAGTATGTTTATTGAGACAAGAAAAAATATATCTCAAAGGGATAGAGTAGCTTAGGCTATTTCTACTCCCCCCTAAACTAGTGGCTTTACAAGAATGTAAACCCACCATGCCATGTACTCCCATAAACCCAATGTACCTTCTTATATATAAATAAATAAATAAATAAATAAATAAATAAATAAATAAATAAATAAATAAATAAATAAATAGTATGAGACCCTGTTGACCTATGACTTAAATCACATCACAAACACGGTACATAATCAGAGAAAGCGCTAAACCAGTATGAATATGTAGCACTTGGAAGGGATATGAAGGCGGAGTGAAGGAACGGTGTACAACCACTTGGACCACTGGGAATCGAGTACCGATCAAGGACGGGTATAGAGGCCTTCGGTGGACCGACGAGCGCAAGTACATGAACCAATTCACTGTTTTAAAAGCCAACTTAGTACGACTTCGAGTACGACTTCGCTTGGTATCCCCCACAGGTGAATACTAAGTCTATGGACCTCCCGGACCTTTGCTGCCAAGCCGTGAATCTATCAGGGATGGTATTACTATTACTACTACCCCAATATAATCTGACATCGACGAGAAGAGGCAGGTGTTGGGGCAGAGGGACGTTAGGTGTTAAGGTAGAGGGAGGTCATGTGTTGGGGCAGAGAGAGGGCAGGTGTTTGGGCCGAGAGAGGGGAGGTGTTGGGGCTAAGGGAAAGGCGGGTCTTGGGGCCGAAGGAGGTCAGGAAAGAGTTGATGCCGAGGGAACACAGGTGTTGTATCTATTACTCCAGGTAACTGTTGTCAGATGACTCCCGCAGCGCACACTTGTGAAGGGCAGCCGTCGGTGTTGTGGCGTCTCGCTATCCATCGTGGTCTATATATGACTCTAACAACAGATAGCCTCTGCTATTATCAATAATCACGCTGTTGATGGCTGGTGCAGTGATAGCTAAATCACAAGGAACTGAAAACCTAGTCAGGATGGCGCCCAACTTCGTGGCGGCGCTGCTAGGGATCTCTCCCGCCCGGCCACCAACGGACCCAGTACCAGTAACATAATTCCCGTTGTCGGGGACCGGGAAGCTTGTTCTTAGGCTTGTATCGAGGTCGAACTACTGACCTTACCAAGGATACAATCCATAACAGTTGCCTAACTCTCCGGTACACATCTACTGCTGGATGAACAGATGCATTAAGTGAGATGAAACTTACCAAGCCATTAATGTCCCTCCCGGGGGATCGAACTCGGGGTCACTCGTAGTGAGTCGAGAACGTAGACCACTTTACTGCAGGACCCTTAACTTTTATGGCTATGACACATTATAAATTACCGTGAGATGTACAAGTGCTTGAATAATAATCATAATTACATTCAGTATTCGGCAGAACAAATGAACATAGTTGTACCATGCAATGGAATGTAATAATGGGTCCAGGAACTGAATTCCAGCTATATATTGCTATGCAAGTTGCAGTGTTAATGAATTACAGTATTTGCAACAGCCAGGACCGAATTAATACTTTATCTTTCTCTCTCTTACAATGTACCTGTAAACTCTCTTACAATGTACCTGTAAACTCTCTTACAATGTACCTGTAAACTCTCTTACAATGTACCTGTAAACTCTCTTACAATGTACCTGTAAAACATTTTTTGTCAATTTTACTGTAAATTATCTACTTAAAATTACTTGTACCTGTAAAGTAAAGCTGTAAAGTACCTGTAAATTTTTTTTGTCAATTTTACTGTAAATTATCTACTTAAGATTATCTGTTAGTTTAAGGACCTGCCCGAAACGCTATGCGTGCTAGTGGCTTTACAAGAATGTAAAATCAACATCATTTCTATGTTCTCTCTTAACCCCCAATGTACCTTCTTGGATATAAATGAACAAATAAATAAATGAATTGTTAGATATCTAAATTGCGCGCCACTCGCATGTTGACTTGCGCGGTTGTTGCTCGTTTTCTCTAACAGAGACACGCTGCGCTCCACCACACTCTCCTCAGGGGTCACATTATTATAGTGAACCCTGAAAATTTATACATGAAAATTTATTACTTTTCATGTATGGGGATGATTCATTTGTTTGTTTTTAAATGCGTATATCGTCTCGCCTGTAGTAATTATATGAGGATTTATTTATTTAATATTCAATGGTTTGAAGATGCTATTTTTAGTTTTAATGCAGACTAAAAATTTAATATATATAAGAACTTCGTAATGTACAAGGTAAGTGATAATAAGTTAAAGTAAAAATTATTTTTTGCGAAATATATTGGATACATCTTCCCTAAAGTATTTAAGAGGAATATTTGTTAGTGTGAAGAGAGACGGTGAGAGGTGCAGACGACAGTCCAACATGGCGGTCTTCTGATATTGACATTCGGGAATGAATTCTGACATTTCTCGCTTCAAGTTATGACACTCTGCTCTTTCTGATCTGGCCCGAGACATATGAAGGTGAGGCCGCCATCTGGGCTCTGAGCAGCAGGCGTTTAAACCAGGAGAGCATTAACCCAAGGGGCAAAAACAGACCAGAAGAAGCTTTGTTTTGACGTTTGTGTGTAGAGGAGCTGATCGTGGGATCAATTAGGGGAGTGGCTGGTTGTGTCGTGTTGTGGAGGCTGGCCTCACTCTCAGTCGTCTCCTGGTGGCCCACACCACCTCCTCCAGTCTCCTCCCACTGACAATACATGTCTGCAAATACCTGCTATTATAAAACAAGCGTTGTGGGAATTTTTGGTATTTATATTTCTCTTTCTATGACGATGGTGTTGGCCTGCCGTGTATTGTACATAGTTTGAGTCTATGACTGATCAACACATTCCTCTTTATGCTGGTAAATGTGTGTGATGGGATTTGAGAAATGTGAGGTAGGCCTAAGCCAGTGTGTAGTCTTGGGGGGAATCAGAGTTCACGAGCTCTCCGTAGAGTGCAGTCGTACCTCCACAGATCTCCAGTATCAGGTAATGATACTGGTAATGGCTCCAAAGGGCCACCACTTATGGGCTATTCATGCCCATGCCACCTTTTGGGTGGCTTAATCTTCATCAAGCAATCTCAATCAACTATGGTCATTGCTCTCATCAAGCAATGACCATAGTTGTGGCAGGTCGTGCTTCATGAGGGGCTCCTCATCCCACGATACTTCACCAATTGTATACAATCTTGTACAATAGTAATGGTGAGGAACACGGTGTTGTCTCGGAGTATGGCTACAGGCGTTTCACAATGCCTCGTTTCTGAATTGTTAAAACTATATATTGTTAGGTTGGGGTGGATTATGTTTGCTTGGGTTAAGCTAGGCACAGCTTTAATACAAAATATCCATTGTTGAAGGGAACTATCAGGAGATAGCACCAACCCATTACGACTATATAGCACTGGGAAGGGATCAGGATAAGGATTTGGGATGGGACGGGGGGAAGGAATGGTGCCCAACCACTTGGACGGTCGGGGATTGAATGTCGACCTGCATGAAGCGAGACTGTTGCTCTATCGTCCAGCCCAAGTGGTTCGGCTATCTATTGTTGAGCCGTCTTATGTACAAAATTACCTGTGTTTCAGGGTGTAGGGTTCAAGAGTGTAGACCCTTGAGGTGTATGTTGTGCAGTGTGTTTAATTGGTTGCTAATTATTTACTCATCCCTACCTGGTCTTTCCAGTTTTGAAACGTAACAAAATTTAATTTTAATTACAGGGATAAATAGCCAAATTTAGGGATGCCTGTAATGTGATTAGCAAAATATAACCTTTATACCTAACCAATGGTGGAATATTATCTGTGTAATGGAATTGTAATGGTACTGTAATGGCAGTGATGGAATGTTACTTTTATACCTGAACCATGACAGAATTACAATATACTGTATTTAAATAGCAAACCTTGAAAGTAGGTCTTTTTTTTTTTTGTGTTGTAGTTCGATTTGCAGATGTTCGTAAAGGTCTGTCATGCCAGAAGTATTAGGAAAGTACAGCAAATTTTATTGCCACTCAAGGTATTGCATCTTTGTTAAGCCACGTACACAAAACCAATCGTTATCTTCTACATACTGTACTGTACATAATGGGAGAGTGTAACTAAAAATATAAATATTGCATTTAAAAGATGCCCAACCCACAAATCTTAAAGAATTAACAATGTTTTGGTCCATCCTGGACCATTATCAAGTTGTGTAATGGAAAACAAATGGGAGAGAGTCAGAATTATAATATGGCAGAATGAGATAAAAGATAGGAGAGTGAGATAGGCAAAATACAGAGATGATAGGTAAATAGGGTAAAGGAAAGGTGTAAGGTAAGAATTAAAGGAATAGGTATTGGAAACTATATTGTGTAAATTTGGTAACCAATGTTTACAAAATTTTAACTTGTTTGCTTTTACCAGAAGAGGTGGTTACCAACCACTTGAGCTAGAAGGTAGCGCAATTGTCTCACTTCGTGCAGGTCGGCGTTCATTCACGGACCGTCCAAGTGGTTGGGCACCTTTCCTTCCCCCATCCCATCCCTAATCCTTTTCCTGACCCCTTCCAAGTGCTGTACAGTATAATTGTAATGGCATGACGCTTTCTCCTCATAGTTCCCTTCTCCCTCATCTCTCCAGAGCTTACTGATATTTCCTGACGAATATAAATTTGATAAGGAAATTGTTTTATCAAAAGAAATACTGTATACTGTACTGTGGAATACCGCACATTGGTGGAATGTATCTTTGCAATGGCCATCCCTATGCATAGCATTTTGAGTCAGTATACAGCCTGTATTTGTCTATACAGGCAAGTCAGTATGCCTGTATAGTACTTGGGAGGTGGTACAAGGACAATGATTTGGGATAGGGTAGAGGGAAGGAATAATGCCTAACCACTTTTTTTTTTTTCCATTGAGATTTGAATGCTGACCTGCAAGAAGCAAGGTCTATGCTGTATTCCAGCATCAAGTGTACACTCTTAAAGTGTACTTTGCAAATAGCAGAATCCTTTGAAACAAAATAGATGATTTAAGTACACTTGCGTGTACATAAACATTATACTGTATATTATTGCACAAAGAGAAATGTAGATGAATATAGAAAAAAGGGGGCTATTAGCTGAATATTAACGTAAGGGATAACAAATAATTTAAGACAAATTAAGGGAGAAGAGGGAAATAGCAACATATGTCGGGTAAATTTTATTAATGTATTGTAGTGTCAAAGAAGGATCAAAACTGAGATGGGAATTATCAGGGGAAAGTGCCAAGATATTATGACTATATAGCACTTTGAAGGGATAAGGCTTTGGGATGGGACGAGGGAAGGAATGGTGCCCAACCACTTGCACGGTCGGGGATTGAACGCCGACCTGCATTAAGCGAGATTGTCTCTACAGTACTGTCCAAGTGGTTGGGCAGATCAAAACTGAGCCACATAAACTGGATAGAATTAAATAAAGGTAAGGGTAACATTTCCTTGGGACAAAATGGGACATTGTAATGGCAAAAATGGGTTATGTAATGCAGGTATTCTATATTCATGGAAAAGTAAGATTATAAAGTTTTATTACATAAACATATTGAGATAGTTATCTTTGGTGACAGAATCCACATTAAAATTTAGGTAGACATAGAGGGGGACTGTACTTCACTACGATTGTACCATGAATATTTTTCAAATTAAATAATCCTATGCAGTAAATGTCGGTCTCTTCAGCATCCTTATGTTTCTGGATTCGTAGATGTTGTTTCATGTTGTTTCTACCTCCATGAGCAACTGAAAAATGGTTATTGCAATGTTGGCATACCACTTTTGTTCCATCACTACACAGTTTGTCCTGTTCAATAAATTTAAATTCCTTCTGGAGATCATCATTAA